CAGTAGTTGTTGCAAAATGTTTAAATCAAGATTCCCACGTGGACAAGCCGTTCCATAATCCACTGCGGCAAGTTAAACAAACCGAACACCCAGTATTATAAGCCGTACAAAATGACTTAACAATTGCCAATAAGATCATTTTATTCTCTAAATACAATTTATATTTTTTAGTTGGTCATACATTATGATCTCAGTCATCTAAAGTTTCTCATTCATACAGGGACAAAAATACCCACAGGACATTTTATATAACATTTATTATCATGAATAAACGTAGTCGAGGAAGAATGGCGAAAAAGTTTCTTAATCATTTAATACTGCGGGCACGTGCATGCTAACAGCGATTTTATGGTTTTGAACGCGAAAAAACAAAACAATTTTGATCCTGAAATTCAAGGTCAAGATCAGTTTTGCGGCAGATTATATGTATTTCCATCGAAGGTGCAGAATTCATTTATGACAGCCGCGGACAAACTTTTCTTTCCACTCTGTATATTAACAATATGATGATGAAATATAATATCATCACCTATTAAATATTTTACTTTCGATATCATGACTTTGTAATGATTTGAAATTTTCCGGATAATGGAAAAGTTATTGTAAACATAAAACAAAGCTATTGCTAATTTCTAAAAAGGAAATACGTCGATAAGTCAGAAACATGTTCGACTTTTCTTATTCGTGAACTCCATTTGAACCTGAACTCCTATTATAAGAACGATAAGTCAGTATCATCCTCCAATCATTCTCCAATAAAGGAGAAAATCAGTGAATTCTTGTTATGTAAACTTAAATTATATGAATTATGTCTACCCTGATAAGTTCATAAAGAACGTTGTAATTGATGGAAATATATTTCCAAAATCACGTTTTTGATACAATTTATTTGGTTTTATTTAAACAAAGAATGTCTAGCTCATATTTGTTTAAGACGTCTAATAGTCTCAGCTATTTTATATAATCTAATTGTAGAATCTATATTTTTTTATAGTAATTGTAGAATCTATATTTTATATAATTGTAGAATCTACATTTAATATACTAACTGCGAATTTTTGTGTCATGACTGATTTTATTTTTTACTATATAGGTGAACAGTCTGCGAAGGTCTACCGAAATAAGTTTGTAATACTCAATTTTTTCAGAAATATTTTGCATTTCCTTTAGTAGAACCATTGACTAACTTGCATAGATCGGGCATCCAATGCTTTTTTGTGTCATCATCATGTCAAGGTTTTGAGGTCATTCTGATCTATTCTGGTCACATCTTGTCATATCGACTTAGGCAAGTATTACACTACAGTGCTATTGGCGATAAAAATTAAAATCAAAAGATATGGATAAAAGATATGGTTGCCGTGTTCTCATTGAAAATTATTTCTTGAATTGAATCAAGTGAAATTTGATTACGAGCAATATACATATGTATATGCATATAATAATCATAATAAATAAATGCGAATTTAGTAACAAAACATTATTTA